GAGCAGACCCTGTGGTTTCAGCACGAGGTTCACTGATGCAGTGGGAGAACGGGAGCGGTATCACTTCTGCTTTTGCCAAACTCTTGCCTTACTGTCCAGTGGGAGAAGTTTTCAGATTCAGGAAGCCAACAGGGAGTTAGTAGCAGAGAAATTTGTCTTCTACACAGTCAATCAGTCCAGACAGGCCTGACACCTTTCAGATGAAAGCAGAAACAACCACGTACTTTCTAGCTAGTATAAGGGCTCTATCCACCATCCCTCCTCAGCTTCAAGAAGCAGCAAGTTGTTCCCTGCCCATATAATGACCGGGGATTCAGGAAAAGAAAGATTAAAGCCCTCTGCCAGCTCCATTAACGTGGCCCTTCGGACACGGGCTGCTGAAAGCACTCAAGAGCTCGTTTCTGTGGATTTTATACTGTGTCCCAAAGTCACATGGGAGTCTGTCCATTGTTGCCGATAATTTCACAGCCTTGTGCGGAGGTGAGGGCATCCAGATGCGCTAATGTATTGCACAGTGCTAATCACCATTTCATAGCTTTTTGCAGTTGACTTTACTCATAGAATTGGTCACCCTGACACCTCTCCCATCCCCATGAGAGCATCAGAGTATGCCATCAAAAGAGTAAGCTTTTGGACTGGCAGCCGTCAGAGCGAAATAACCAGGTGCGGCCTTGCTAAAAGGTTTTTATCATGTACCTCTGCCTATTTTTGACCCCCCCTCCCATCTTGTCTATCATAGTTTGTTAATAAACTTTTCACTGGTTGCTGAAAACAAGATGATGTGCAGTGCACACACTTGTCCAGCTGTCTTCATGAAACACAAGAATATCAACATGATCTGAGTATTGTTCTCATCCTGGCTGTTCGCATTCTTTATGTGTCCTGAGATAAGCTGCTTCAACACTTCATCCCTTCAGCAACATTCATATCGTCTGTTTACGCTGCAGAGAAGGGACAGGCTGTGTTTGCGCAGTGAGTAGCATGACAGAGCCCCTTCCTTGGCTGGGGTTCCTAGTGGCTGAGAGTTCCGGCTGCAGATAAAGCTTGGATTTTAGCTTTATTATTCTGGACTTGGGCTGGAAGATGCCTGCACTCATTGAGGCCAGGATTCAAAGGTAACAAATTCAAAGGAGACGGATAGTTACTTCTATCCCATCTTACGTAAGCAAAGAAATTAGCAGGCTCTAACCAGGCTGGTTTACAGAGCCTGGAACAGACTCTCACATTGACAGATGTTGATGTTTGTGCTAGCAGAAAAAAAAGTGACAACAAAAGCTGTGGAACAAAGAACAGTAATGCTTCAGGAAGTTTCCTGTTGTAAATAAGGAAATCCCAACTACAGGCAGAAAATTTCCAAAGAGCAGAAGGACCAATTTTAAAGTGCTCAGCATGCCCAGTTGGGGCTAGGTTTTCAATTTAGCTCAGCTCCCATGGAGGCAGCTAAACAAGAGCCAGATTTTTAAAACCACTGAGTATCCAGCTGTTCCCATTGCAATACTTCAGGCCAGATTTTTAAACAGAGTTCAGCACCGCCCAGCAGGCTGTGCTTTTTCAAAAGCTTGCCCTAAGTGGCCCTGCACCTGGGGTCATTGTTTCAGTGGCTACCTCTTGGAAGCGGAGGATGCATCTCACTTCTATCTCTTCGCTTCTTTTCTGAGCCCTGGCATGGTCTGGATAGTACAAACTATCAAATACCTTTTGGGCATTTATATAGAGAGGGAATATTGAGAGATGCAAGACATCGGCTGCGGCACAGCAAACTTCACAGTTCTCTCGGTTTTCCATGCTCTCCTGAACTGCGAGAGCCAGCAGTATGTTTTGACCTGCCAATCATGCCGACTTATGTCAAATTATGTCATCTTCCAAATGTCTGGGAAAATTGAGTTTGGAGGTTTCAACCTATTTTCACAGGCAGACAAAGCCAAGAATTTCTTCTTTCTTAAGCCTGCAGCAAAGCTGAAAAATCGAAAGATGCCATAATTTAGGGAAGGCTGTGTGTCAGATAATGTAAAAGGTTATCCGGAAGCCTGCTCTTTCACCAGATCATCACGTTCACAGAAACAGCAGTCTTTCTTTATCAGCACATCCCTGTGGAACGTTTCAAGCTCCTTTGTCGAGGAGAAGCCACCTGTGACTCCCAAAACACAGAAGGCTCCCACACTTTGTCTCCACCTTTCCAGGAGCTTGTAGGAAGAGTTTGATACACAGCCAGTACGAATGGGAAGGCTAATCTCTTCTGCACTAGCTCTGCATGGAGCCGGCATGAGCAGAGAGGTGCAGTTCAAGCTCATTGGTGAGGGATGAAGAGCAGAAATTCTCAGATGGGGAGTGGTCCTCCAGAAGAAAAGAAAATGCGTGGTTGTTCCCTTTTGTTTGTTTGTTTTAAGTGAAGATCCAGGAGGTGTACATAGGGCAGAAAAGAGAGTTTATCGAAACAGCAGCCCACAGAACAGAGAGCCTGAGGCTGTACCCGCTAAAGCATAGTTAGGTGAAGACATGTTTCCCCTTTCAGGAGTGGTGGATTTAAAATGCTTCTTCCTCAGATGAAACTCCCTGAAAGAAGAGAAGATTTGAAATGCGAGTGAATTTCAGTTTCCTTTTAAAGAAGTTGGTATTGTTCATTGCCCTGTTAGAGAGGGATGTGTCTCCCTATTTGAAGCTTCCTCCTCTGTCATTCCTCCCTCTCATTTCCTCGAGCCCCCTTGCTGTGCGACCGTGGGACACACACCCGTTCTGTGAGAACTGAGAGAGAGATTGGCAGTTTGGGAGCTGCTGTTCCTCCTTATGTATGCAAAGAACATAACTGCTAAGTGCATCATCTGTTGTCATTTACACATCCACACACAGCACAGATCAGGATAATCTTCCTACCGGGATGCAGAGCCTTATTTTCTTCTGCTCCGTTTTTGGGGAAGTAAAATATTCGGTCTAGACTTTATTGTGCTAGGTGCTGTACAAATGTCCCAAAAGGTGTCCCCTCCCCCAGATAGTTTAAACTCTAGTTAAAGCTGAAAAGAACAAGGCTAGAAGATAGTATTTCTTTAACTCTTCCATTCACACCCAGGGAGTGCAATCATTAGAAATGACTTGACTAAAATTATGTATGGAAGTTTGCAGCAGGTGTGAGAGCTTAACAATACCAAATGCACATCCAGGACTTAGCATTACAAAACCATTTTGTGGTCACAGATCCAGCCAAGCAAGAACTGTGTTGCTCCCAAATGTTATATAAGCATGAGGCAGCCAAGGAGCACTGACTGAGCATTGCTCTGCAAGATAAAAATAGCAGCTCTGCAATAATAAGAGGACAAGGGTCTAAAAAGAAAAAAAAATTTGAGTGAATGTGAGTGTGATTACCAACCAGTTTCCCTGTTAAATATTTTGATCATCATTGTCACAGCCATTTGGCTTCTCATGATCTTCAGGAGCAGAGTCTAAGCCAAGATACTCTTCTCCTTTCAGCATACGGATGCTGGATACTTACAGATACATCCCCTATCTGAAACTGCAGGCTGCACAGCCACATTAGAGACCTCAGAAATGGATGCTATGCTCCATGATGACTGGAAGGAGCTATAGAATCACAGAATCACAGAATCGTTTAGGTTGGAAGGGACCTCTGGAGATCATCTAGTCCAACCTCCCTGCTCAAGCAGGGTCCTCTAGAGCATATTGCCCAGGATCACATCCAGACGGGTTTTGAAAATCTCCAGCGAAGGAGACTCCACCACCTCTCTGGGCAACCTGTTCCAATGCTCTGTCACCCTCACAGTGAAGAAATTTTTTCTCATGTTCAGATAGAACTTCCTGTGGTTCAGTTCCTGCCCATTGCCTCTTGTCCTGTTGCTGGGCACCACGGAGAAGAGGCTGGCTTCCTCCTCTTGACACTCCCCCTTCAGATACTTATACACATTGATCAGATCGCCAAATATAGTTCCCTTCTCACTCCCCTAAGCAAATCTACAGCTCCCAATGCTACCTGAACTCCATTGCCAGGTTGCATCTCTTACACAAGTTCTTCTGGTGAGCCTTCATGGCCTTCAGCCAGTGTCCAAGGACCCTTTTGAATCTGTAGCAAACCCCACAGATATGTGTTAGGGTTATTTATTTGTGGCCTCTGACCACATTATCTCAACACACATGCTATCTCATGAGCCTCATCTTCTTTCCTGGTGCCTGGCCTACTACATCTCTGTTTAAGATGAGCTTCAGAAAGGAATACTGACCTTCACGTTGTGCTCTTTAAAACAGCACTGTCTCCTCAAAGAGCGCAAGGAGTGCACACACTGCACCTGCTGTCCTTGGCATGCCAGTACCCTCCTGACCTGACTTTTCTGCAGAGCAACGCAGAAAGCTGCCCTGGTGGGCGCTACCTTGCCTACACCTCTGACAGCAGCAGGATTTCAGGAGGCCTTCAGTGCACGTGACGAGTTTTCTGCATATGAGCTTTCAGGTTATGCTTTGCATGTTCATTCAAAGTGCTTCCGTCCCCTAAGTGCTCTGGTTATGCTGTGAAAGGTGGCTCCGAGGCAGAGCTACAGCCACTAGAGGGCATTTGAAGGACACAAGATCAATGGATAGCAGACCGCCTGCCACCAGGCAAAGCCACCCTGTATGTGTGACCTACTGGGCAAAACTATGGCATACAGCAAGCAATTTTATCCCACTAATTTTCTCAATCTGTCTTTCTGCAGTTGCCCCTCAGTGCAATCGATGGTTTGTAGCAGACAACATGTACGTTGTTCCCATGCCATTCCTGGAACTGCTGCTGCAGATGGGCAGCAGCTTAGGTGGAGCAATGCTACTGAATGGATTGCTGATTATCTGTGCTTCCTCTGATTGCACCCTTTAAAATATCTACGGATATAAATATCAGATATAGTTTTGTTCTTATACATTCCTCAGCTGCTTGTAGTCTCCTCCGGCTAGTTTTCCATGCTGTTCAATCTGAAGTCCATGACTTCCTTACCTTTTTCCGTCTATTCTCTCTCCACAGGGAGATGTACTCTCAGAGGGGAATCTGTAGCTAAAGAACACACCTGCACCGTGCATCCCAGACTCATTCAAGACTCTTTTCATTGATGGAAGAATTGAATGTGGCCCTCACGTCCTGGTCAAAGCCCGTGACTCTGGAACTTTCAGGTACCAAATATTTGCAGGGACATCACCACCATCTGACTGTTTACTCTCTAAAATGAACGGCTGACTAAAACCACATTAAACATTTCAGTCAAGCTTAAAGACATCCTCTGATGGTCCTTTTTTCTTCCCACTCTTTTCTTTCAAAGGAGAGAAACATCACAGAAGCAGCAAATGGGAGTATGTTTTCACACGTGGTTACACATTGGGTTTTTGTACCGATGAATCCCCGTGGGAGAAGTTTGAATTAAAGAGTTGCAGGTATGTGTGGCTGGCAGCTGCTCTCTTTGGATAGAAGGGAGAGGGAGGATGAGGGTGACCTTCAATATGCAGAGGGCCAAGAAATATCAGAATGAGGACACCTGGGTTGGCACATGAGTTTTGTCAGGTTTTTTTTAAAGTCTGAGAACGGCCAAGTTCCATCTCACTTATTTCCAGATACAGTTGCCCTACAATATTCTAGTTTCTCAGGAACATCCTGCAAGAGATGAGTATGAGTCTTGTGTGACTGGCGCCTTTGCTTACCACTTTCAGTAAAAGTGGCGCAAGATACACGGGTCTGTGGTGGTGTGAGCACCTCTCTGCTGGTGGGGGCAATCCAGCTGGACATGCAGTGTATTAATTGTGCACTTGTGCTTCTAGCTACAGTTACTGCACCATCCTTGAGCTTTGAGGACCCCTTCTTGCTTGGAGCAAGCTGAGCTTTCCAGTCAACAGAGGCACTGTCTGCATATATTCATTCTTCAGGTCTCAACAGCCCCTCTGGAGTTAGTGCCAGGAATATTTTCCTGTTACAAGTAGGAACAAGAGATATTTTCTGGGGACATGGTTGTAGAGCTGCAGATAGCACTTGGGGTACATTATTCTGAATCTGTCAGTCAGCTTTTTATGCAACAAATCAGATGTTATAGACATTGAGGTACCTGCCTCCATTCACTGGTCAAGGCCTTGCAGACCACAAACTGTTATATTCTCACCTTAAAACAAGAGAAAAAAAATTGTATTGAGAATGCATGAGTGGACATTCCACTAGCAGAAAAACAGATTACCTCTCCACCAAGCAGACTCCGATCCCCAGGACTCTGAAAGCAACCTAGAATGACATTTTTTTTTGTTTCTGATAGCTGGGAATTTGAGAGGGCTGAATGACTGAGGAGGGAGCAATGGGTAAAGTTATCTCCCTTTTTTCTTATTCTTTTTTTCTTATATGAGCATCACACAGCAGGCTGCTGAAACAGGCTTCTTCAAAGTCATTATAGCAAATGCAGATTACGTATCTCACACAGCAGGCAGCTACAGTAAATCTTGGCACATCCATCCATTAACGTATTGGTTTCGGAGAAGCCATAGTTGCCAATGTAGATCAATAAGCCATAGATTTTGAGTTTTTTATGTTATAGTATGGGGCACTGCTTAGAAGGAAGGATGAATTAAGCAAATGATTTCCTGGAGTGAACAGTGGGCACTTGAGTCACATGGTTAAAATCCCCTAAGGCTGCTGGTTTCAGGGTAGTTATCTCAGTTTCAGCTATTAAGGTGACACACAGGGGGAGAAGACTAGTGTAATCATAACCCTGTGTGTCACGAGATCTTTGATATTTTCCTTGGATGACCTTGGATACTGCTATCTGAAATAACACGTTGCTTGTGGCAGCAGTTCATGCACGTTAGGTCAGGCTCCTGGAGAGCTCATTTGTGGTGAGCTTCACAAATCAGGTTTCATCAGTTGCTTTACAAGTTGTCAAGGCTGGACGGGTGTTGGATCCTCAGGTGAGCTGAAATCAGGTTTAGAAGTGCTAAGATACAGCATCTGTGGCTATGTCTGCCTTCTCGGCTTGTACCACATTGAACCTTACTGTTGTGATGTGATTGGGATACAAAGCTGCCATTCCCCAGTGGAGATAACATGAAAAGGTTAATTTGCAACATCAGAGAGGAAAGGGATAGTGATAGAAACTCCCTGCAGCACCCTTTCCAAAAAATCCTGTATTTGAAAGTGTTTGTGTTTGCTTGCTAAATACCTAGTCTCTTATGATTAGATGTATTAATTACCTATTCGTGTTAAAATGCTTTCTAAGCAGCAGTTTCTTTTTTATCTAGGGCTAATGCCACATCATAATCGTCAGCCGTCCCCCCACCACCATTCAGCCAGCTGGAAGAAAGGCCAATGCTCTGCTCTTTGTGAAGCCAAGGGCATCTCAGGAAACGTGTCCCAGGGGATGCATCTCAACTTGGTCAGCCTTCCTGTTCACTCCTGTCCTAATCCCACCTCCTACACTTGTATTTGGAGTGGGTAAGCAACTCAGCCTAGGCATTTTATGCCTCTCAGAGTGAGACTAATTACATAACATACCATTTTTGGCTGGACAGTGGAACGAGGTCTCAATAACGCTGTGGCCATGCAGGCTGTTTTTGTTTGCTCTCAATTTTTTTAAGACTGTAATTACAGAGACCTTCCTGGGAAGAGTAAATTGCAGGCAGAATAGTTGACTGAGAGCACGCTTTTCTTGCACCTCATTCATACAAACAAATAATATCTAATAATGTGACTCAAGCCCATTTCTAGTGTAGCTGGCTGAAGTAAGTATTTTTCTGTCGAACACCTTTTGTTGTGCTCTGCAAACACAAGCTGCTAGAATGACCTCAGCACTTCTTTAGCTTTTATTCAAAGTCACTGAGATGTTTATGATTCAGTTTCCTCCCCCGTCTCAGCAATAAATACCCACACAGCAAAGACCAGGAAATCTGCCAATCCAGTAAATGACTCCTTTACATTGTTCTTACTGCACAAAGAAGGTTTTTTTGCTTCATCCCAAAATGCCATCCTGCAGGAGTTACTTTATAATGAACCAGCGATGCCCAGCAGAGTTGGGCAACACATCAGAGGAAAGACAGTGTCGTGTACACTGAAGCAAGGTGAAAAAGAAGAGAAGGCATAATTACTTTTAAATTTTGAATCACTCAGTGATTCTATTGCTTTTCTACAAAGTTTATATTTTCATGGAAGTGACTTTTCAGTCATTCTTCATAGTTGTACTCAGGAGTACCTGAATATCTAAGTAGTCTTTTATTCTTTTCTGCTTTCTAAGTAAGAAACCAAAGTATTTGGCTGCACTTTTTGCTGCTGATGCATTAAAGGATGATCAAGACAGCTGAAGCAAACTGTTTGCAAACAGCCTCTAAACTTCTATATGTCTAGATAGGGCATATTAAACTTTTTTTAACAAAGCAGTCCCTCAGAGCATAAGCCTGGGCACACATCATTTGCAAGCTAAAGAAAAGGCTGCTTTCGTAGGGTAGTTTGCACATTATGAATTGTTCAGCTCTGAAGTGTGCTATAAAGCAGAGATGAACATAATCTTTGACTGCCTTTCTATGTCTGCCCAAAGAATAATATTGTTCTAATTTACAAATGTGGCAGAAAGATGGGTTTAAGAATAATCTTGTTCCACCCTTACTATTCTGCCAGTGAGCTCTAAGGTAGATGTGGGCTATCAGTGTTTTTGTTTCCCTGTAAAGATAGATTTTCAACATTTATTTACCATTCAGGAATAAGGATAAAACACCTCCAGAGAATTAATTAAAAAAAAAAAAAAGAATGTTCAGAAAGCAAAAGCTACAATCAGACTGGCTCAGAGATTTCTGCCCTTGAGAATTTGATTCTCTTCCTTATCTCAGGACGTATGCTCAGCCTGTGAGTACAGGCATCCACACATTTTCCTCCTTCGGATAAAGCCGGATTCCACTGTGGCACAAAGTTACATAAAGAGTTTTTTCCTTGCCCCCAGTGAAAATAGGAGGAGGAGGAAACAACAAGGAAGGTTTCTCTTTTGTTGTAGGTTTCTCTGTGCATATGGCTGCAGACTTGAAAAACAAACTATTTGTTTGAGTACGTGTGGTTTTAAACTTGATGTCAGGGAGGAAAAAAAGTGGTGTGAGTGAGAAAGGGAGAGCAGGCCAGAGCCACTCCTGGTTGGCAGAAGGACACTGAGAGACAAGCAGAGGGGACGGATGATCAAAGAGGGGAGATGTGACCCTCAGAATAACCAAAGAGGGATAGAGTCCAACCATTTCTGCAGAAAATACAACATTGAAAGGAAAGAAGCTGAAATCAGGCAATCCTGAAGCAGTGTGCAGTGCTGGAAGCGTGGACGCAGAAAGAGGGCAGCGGGCAGGAGGTGAAACCTTGGAAGCATGAAAGTCAACGGGCTGCAGCGGGGCAGGAGGACGAGAGGACCTCTGCGCTGCCCCTGTCCAGGCACATGGCGGTGGTGAGGGCTCGACACACGCACGCGTCTTCCCAGAGAAAAGGGCATAGCGCAGCACCGAGGGTGACTGCACTGCAGCTAGCAAAGACAAGCCTTTTGCACAAGACGGAAACCCAACAGACACACACCAAACTGGTTTAGCACCAGCTGAGCTATTATATTTTTAATCCTTGCATTGTACAAACAAACCTAATTTTTATCAGGTTATTGTCCTCCCACTGCTTTCCTCTGCAGCTGATGCTCTGTCAATATCTTTTACCCTAATATATAGGCTACATTATAATGATGCTTCAGTGCCCTAGGTGTCAAAGAGGCAGCAGCAAGAACTTCACTTTGATAACTGTGATGCAGCTGGAGCA